GAAAGAATGAGTATAAATTGGTCCACACATTCAAATATACTTTTGAATATAATTTAAGGACATCACACAATTGAACAAAATTCACTCACTCTCACAAAGAATTCACATGCATCCCGTGGTCGTACCATAAGCTTGCCCGTAGTGTATATCTCTACTAATTTAAGCTAGCCAAATCTAGGATCAATTAGGACTTTTAGGTTGTAATGTAGGCTAAGGGACGGGTAGGATATATTTAGAATTAGTGACTCACCCTCCTAAGCACTTTAATACACTACATTTACAATTCAAGCTTATATTCTTCTCAACCAACCCACTTGCCACATATAACATTGCCCTCTTTTCAATTAAGCACTTCTCTATTTTTCACTAGCACAAATCAATAAGAATTGGAGGTGTTTATTTTTTCTATATACATTCACTATCATTTTTCTTTTCTTTTCTCCACACACTCCATACAATAAAGTTCATCGGCTAGTGACCTTTAATTTCAACTTTAGTGCACCAACGGGCCCTTCCATGGTTCCACTCAAAAGCTAATCCCCAATCTCTAACCTTACTTCTTCTAGTGACTAAGTGCCTTAGGAGGTACAGGTTCAATCAATATCAAATTAAGAACAAAATAAGGTATGGCTTGTAATGTGGGTGCCAAAGAAAGGTCTATAGGCTCAAAGGGGCTAGCAACGGAAAATTTTATTTTTATGTGACAAGCACATCCATGATCAAGCAAGAAAATGCCTACGTCATCTCCTAGATTAGCACAACTTACAATTTCGCTTCAATTAACACACGGGGCAAGTTCTAGACTGTACATGATAGCACAGAATCACAAATCCTCACACACACGTTGCACATGACTCAATCAAGACGGTTCTGTTCAACTCTCAAGTCAAGCAAGCACACATAATTGAGAAATTTAAGCAATATTGCACTATGCAGCTTACAAGTAAAAAAAAACAGAGAAAAGGCGTCACAAAATAGGCTATTTACTTTACTTAGGCTTCACAATCCAAACCAAGTATACGAAAAAACAGAATGTATGCCATAGCCTAATGATCTAGCATCAATCATGTCAATGAGTATCTCAGGACGACTCAGTTTCTTCCTAAACTACTCCTAAAAAGAAATTAAAATGCCCGGTTCGAGCTACATCCTTGGAAAAGAACCGGTGCCTAAAGAAAAACCAAGGAATACTACCCAGCTATTCTAAAAAAAAATAGAAACTAAAAAAAAATTTAAAAGAAAACAAAAATCTTTTTGGTGTTTTTAAATCGGACTTTTATCCCTCAAGAAAATCATCCAAAAGATCCATCGTCGGGAAAAGTCTGAACTTTTTCACATTTTTTTCAATTTTCATTTTTTTTACCTAGACTATTTCTACTACGAGTTCTAAAAGAAAAAAAACTAAAAATAAAATAGTTTTATACAATTACACTTCAGAAAGTAGTTTCCCCACCCCACACTTATATTATGCATAGTCCTCGATGCATGATCACAGAGAAAGATATTAAAACAAGGGTGAGAAATACTCCCTGAGACCCTCTCGGGCCTAGCTCGGTCATGATCCTCAATATTAAGGGTCGGGACAACCCCACACTTAAGCTCAAACATGCTCCTCAGCTTCATCTTTGGGTACTCAGACTTCCCCTACTCTGCAAAATAAAAGCAACACAAAACTTGACACTAAAAAAAATCAATAACTAAAAGATATACATGTTGGGTTGCCTCCCAACCAGCGCCTGATTTAATGTCGCGGCACGACGCAGAGTCTCGCTTACTCATCAGCGAGTACAACCTTTGTCTTTTCACGATCAATCATTCCTCCCCAGTAATGCTTGACTCTATGACCATTCACCAAGAATGTCCTCTCACCATTTAAAGCTCGTAGCTCGATTGCACCATAAGGGGTGAGTCTCACCACCTCAAAAGGACCTGACCATCTCGACTTTAGCTTCCCAGGGAACAGTCGCAGTCTAGAATTGAATAACAATACCTGTTGGCCAGGCTCAAAGTGACGTGGCTTGATATGCTTGTCATGCCATCGTTTGGTCTTTTCTTTATATAGCTTGGCATTTTCATAAGAGTGCAACCTGAACTCGTCTAACTCATTCAAATGCATAAGTCTTTTCTCACCTGCGGCTTCAAGGTCCATGTTCAGCTTCTTAATGGCCCAATATGTTTTGTGCTCGAGCTCAACGGGCAAGTGGCATGCGTTCCCATAAAACCAGCTTGTAAGGGTATGCTCCAATTGGTGTTTTATATGCAGTCCTATACGCCCATAGGGCATCATCCAACTTTGCAGCCCAATCCTTCCTATTCACACTTACCGTCTTCTCTAATATTTGCTTGATTTTTGGGTTTGACACCTCAGCTTGCCCACTTGTCTGCGGATGATATGCTGTAGCAACCTTGTGGCGAACTCCATATTTAGCAAGAAGGTTATTCAACAATCGATTGCAAAAATGAGTCCCTTCATCACTGATTAAGGCCTGTGGAGTCCCAAATCTCGAGAATATGTTCTTTTTCACAAAAGCAGCTACCACCGTGGCATCATTGGTTGGCAGAGCAGTTGCCTCCACCCATTTTGACACGTAGCCAACGGCTAGCAAAATGTATTTGTTTCCTCTGGACGGTGGAAATGGCCCCATAAAATCTATCCCCCACACATCAAAAAGCTCAACTTCTAGAATATTATTCAAACGCATCTCATGCTTCCTTGTGATTGTTCCCGTTCTCTGACATTGGTCACACTTCTTAACGAATGCATGCGCATCCTTGAATAAGGTTGGCCAAAAGAGACCGGATTGTAACACCTTTGCAGCTGTTCTATCTCCTCCATGATGGCCCCAATAAGGTGATGCGTGACAATCATACAACACTAATTCCACCTCTTTTTCAGGAATGCATCTCCTCATCAACTGATCAGCACATTGCTTGAACAAATAGGGCTCATCCCAGTAATAGAAGTTCACATCATGTAAGAACCGCGTTCTAGCTTCAGATTGGATTTCGGGCGGGAGTACTCCACTCACAAGATAATTCACATAGTCTGCATACCATGGGGGAGAGTCTTGGGTTATAGCAAAAAGTTGCTCATCAGGGAACATTTCTTTAATTTGGCCACCCTCCTCCACGTGATCATGATTTTCTAACCGTGATAGATGATCAGCTACTTGGTTTTCTGTCCCCTTTCGATCTCGTATTTCAACATCAAATTCCTGCAGCAACAAAACCCAGCGCATCACACGAGCTTTGGATTCCTTTTTTGTAAACAAATACCTGATTGCTGCATGGTCCGTATGAACTATGACTTTCGTTCCCACTAAGTATGCCCAGAATTTCTCAAAGGCCCACATAACGGCTAACAAATCCTTCTCAGTGGTGGTGTAATTCTGCTGTGCATCATCAAGAGTCTTACTCGCATAGTAGATGGAATAAAACATCTTGTCCTTCCTCTGGCCTAGCACTGCCCCAATAGCAAGGTCACTCGCATCACACATAAGTTCAAATGGTAGAGACCAATCAGGTGCCACAATAATGGGGGCAGTCACCAACTTCTTTTTAAGTTCCTCAAATGCGTTGAGGCAAGAATCATCAAAATTGAAAGAGACATCTTTTTCAAGAAGCCTGCACAAGGGAGTGGCAATTTTTGAAAAATCTTTAATAAAGCGCCGATAGAAACCCGCGTGTCCCAAGAAACTCCGGACACCCTTCACTGAGATAGGTGGAGGTATTTTTGCAACCGCCTCCACCTTTGCTTTATCAACTTCAATGCCGCTCCTAGATACTCTGTGACCCAATATGATGCCCTCTTGTACCGTAAAATGGCACTTTTCCCAATTCAGTACCAGATTTGTTTCTTCACAACGGGCCAGCACCTTGCTTAAATTCCTCAAGCAATCATCATAAGAAGACCCAAAAACTGAAAAATCATCCATAAACACTTCCACAAATTTTTCCACCATGTCGGTGAAAATAGCCATCATGCATCTCTGGAAAGTGGTTGGTGCTTTACAAAGACCAAATGGCATTCGCTTGAAGGCAAATGTGCCATAAGGACAAGTAAAAGTAGTCTTTTCCTGGTCCTCTGGGCATATGACGATCTGATTGTATCCTGAATAACCATCAAGGAAGCAGTAATATTCATGCCCAGCTAACCTGTCTAGCATTTGATCGATGAATGGGAGTGGGTAGTGATCTTTGCGAGTTGCCTTATTGAGCCTTCTATAATCAATGCAGACTCTCCAGCCCGTAACAGTGCGAGTGGGGATTAGCTCATTCTTCTCGTTCTCAACTACAGTCATTCCTCCCTTTTTGGGCACACATTGAACCGGGCTTACCCAGTTACTATCAGAAATAGGAAAAATGATACCTGCATCGAGCAACTTGATTACTTCTTTTTTCACCACCTCTTTCATAATGGGATTTAATCTCCTTTGCTGCTCTACACTGGGCGGTGTCCGTCCTCTAGAAAGATTTTATGCATGCAACGATGGACTAATTCCCTTGATGTCAGCTATAGTCCACCCAATGGCCCTTTTATGCTCACGGAGGACTCTGAGCAATTTTTCTTCTTGAGTGCTGGTCAAGCTGGATGAAATAATCACGGGCAGTGTCTCTAAGTTCCCCAAATAAGCATAGCGCAGATGCGCTGGAAGTGGCTTGAGTTCTAGCTTCGGAGCTTCTTCAATAGATGGCCTGGGGAGGGTCAGAGTGACAGGCCTGTCCAATTCTTCAAATTTTCTAACCCCATGTACATAACAGCATGACATATCCAGCACTTGCTCAATTTCTCCCATCCTTTCATCTTCACCATTTTCTACGTCCCCAATCAATACACGTTCAACAGGATCTGCAGGGCTCATATAAGGTACTAACGACGTGGCATCACCTTCTACCACAGAGATCATGGACAACTCTTCATAGTGGGCTGGTAACTTGAGTGCTCTATAAACGTTGAAGACCTCCACTCGATCACCCACTCTCATCGTCATCTTTCCTTCTCAAACATAAATAATAGCTCGGCCCGTGGCTAAGAATGGACGCCCTAAAAGAAATGGGACTTCCTGATCAGGCTCGTAATCATGGATGATGAAATCAGCTGGGAATATAAAAGACCCCACTTGGACAAGCTCATCTTCAATTACTCCCTCAGGATGAGCAAAGGAGCGGTCAGCTAACTGTAAGATAACTGTTGTTGGGCGTGGTTCACCCAACCCCAACTGTCTGAATATAGATAGTGGCATCAAATTGATGCTTGCTCCAAGGTCACATAGAGCTCGCCCAACATCATGTTTACCAATCGTGATTTGGATAGTGAAACTACCTGGATCCTTCAATTTCTGAGGTAACTTGCCTTGAATTCTGGAACTGCACTCCTCAGTGAGTGCCACAGTCTCGAACTCGGTCAGCCTCCTTTTATTCGCCACAATGTCCTTGATGTACTTTGCATATTTGGGTACTTCCTGTAAGATGTCAACCAATGGAATATTAATTTGTACCTGCTTCAAGATATCAAGAAACTTTTTATATGCGGCATGATCTCGTAATTTCTGCAGTCTTTGAGGGAATGGAGGTGGTGGCCTTGCAACCAATTGTGGGGATTGCTCAGCCACCGCCTCTCCAGCCGGCTTCTCTGGCTCCTTGGCTTTCTCTGATGTTGATTCTACAGTGGCTGGCATCTCATTAAAAGTCACCTGTTTCCTCTTTTTAGACTGAACTTCTTCTAGTTGTCTCCCATTCCTCAACGACACAGCATTAAGGGCCGCCCTAGGATTGGCTTCAGTGTCACTTGGAAGAGCTCCCGCTGGTCTATTATTTTGAGCACTAGCAAGCTGTCCCATTTGACGCTCCAAATTTCTCACTGTTGTGGCGAGGGCTTGCTGTTCAGCCATCATCTTTTTAAACATGTCTTCAAGGTGGCTTGTAGGATTCGCTTGTTGTTCAACCTGAGGTGGTCTATATTGTTGTTGAGGTGCTTGCGGCCTGTATTGATTCTGAGTGCCCTGGTTTCCACCCCAAGAGAAGTTTGGGTGGTTCCTCCAGTTGGGATTGTAAGTGTTCCCATATTGGTTTGTTTGGCCCCTGTTTGAATTACCCACAAAGCAGACAGACTCTGGGTTCGCGGGGCATATGTCGCTCGTGTGCCCTTCTCCACATATTTCACAAAAAGCTTGAACCTGTTGTACCGGTTGTGTTTGCTGCTTGTTGATACTCAAATTCATCTGGTTCACTTGATTGGCCAGTGTAGCAATCTGCGCTGATAATGCTGAGACGACATCTAACTCAAGAACCCCTGCAGACTTTTGCACTGTGTGCCTGCCCATCTCTCCTTGCCAATCCGGATTGCTCTTGGAGAATTTGTTCAATAATGCATATATCTCGTCAAAGTTTTTCTCCAACACTTGACCCCCAGCTGTAGCATCTACCAGGATCTTTGTTTCAGAATGTAGCCCTTCTATGAAAGTGTGAGCTAACACTTCATTCGTCTGATTGTGATGAGGACAGTCTCTGAGTAGCCCCTTGAACCTTTCCCAAGCTGAGTATAACGATTCACCTGCTTTCTGTTTGAAGGCCACTATTTCACTTCTGATCTTTGCAGTTTTTCCTGAAGGAAAGAACCTTGCTAGAAATTTTCTCGCCAAATCATTCCATATTGTAATGGAGTTAGCTGGTTATGCCTTTAGCCATCGCTTAGCCTCACCCAATAGAGAGAATGGAAAAAGTGTGAGCCTCACATAATCTGGAGTGACCCTGTTAGTGATATAAGTATCACTAATCTCCAAGAAGTTCAGAATGTGCTGCTGCGGATCCTCATGTGGAAGACCCATAAATTGCCCGTTTGCATGAAGCAACTGGATCATGCTCTGTTTCAGCTCAAAGTGCCCAGTGATCCTGGGCTTCACAATACTGGAGGTGACATTAGCAATGCTGGGCATTGCTACCTCCTGAACAGCCATAGGTTGCTCCTCTGCCATGTTCACAGGAAATTGAACAAGTGCCTGAATATTATTCGTGTCACTTGCTTCCCTCAACCTCCTGTGAAATGTTCTCTCAGGTTCAGGATCAAAGCCTTGAAGTCTGTCCTGGCTTTTGACCCTACGCATTCAATCAAAGTTCTTGAGATTTGAGAAACAATCAAGCAACGTTAGACTAGGCGAAATAAGCAAATAAAGCAAAAATTAGCAAGTAGTTAATATTCAAGTCCCCGGCAATGACGCCAAAAACTTGTTGCTCCCAAACGCACATGCAAGTATACGTGGTCGACAAGTAATATAATGATAAGTTGAGTGTCGAACCCACAGAGACTTGTGTAAACTACTTACTAAATCACTAAACTTGCTATTCAATCTAGCTAAAAGCAAAGTCCAATAATATGATTATACTATACTATGATTCTAAGTAATACTAAATTATCAAATAACGAATTGATTGTTCTGTATTCAGTAGAGACAAGTATTCCAGGGTTGTGATCGATTCACCAATCATATTGTGTTCTAATTAACTCTCCCCTTCATATAATTCACTCATGGTTGCTAATTAATCGATAGATGCTCTCATAGCCTTCTACCGAAGTACTACTCACCTATTCTCAATAGTTTAACGCCTATATTCCTATGAAATCAATCTATTAAGAACGCATTAAGATCAAGATATTTAATTAAGCACGATGACTAGGTATATTCCTATCCTAACCACAAATCCGCTCCCCCTAAGGGTTAAGATCATGCTCTCTTCAATTCTTCTCTAATCTAAACATGGCTTTCCCAAGCATAGCATAGATAGTAAATAGAACCTAACTGTTGGCCAGACAATTAAGCAATTAAACACAAAATTAAAGAAACAACCATATATTGGTGAATTATAATCAAGGTCAAGCTAATAATAAACAACAATATTCATGGCTAACTCACAACCCCAGAACAATGGGTGTTTAGCCACTCATGATGTAATCAAACAATTTCATAAGTTTTGATTAATTGAAAGTACTGGAAAAGATGAAGAATTCCGAGTTGTTCTTGCTCCTAAATGTTTCTAGCTGGTATTTTTGCTCCAAAATGGCGTCCTCTCCTTTTCTTGGCCAGCTTCCTTCGTTTAATATAGGGTTTAGGGCTTAAAATCTCGTGTTTTGCACTTTGATCCCTGAAGTTTAGGCGTCCTGCCGCGGTCCTACTGCGGTTACGCCAGGACCGGGGCCAGAGTGGCCTTCGGAATCTGCAGCAGTGTTCTGCCGCGGTCCTACCGCGGTTACGCTCGGACAGCGGCCAGGGTGGCCTTCAGATCTGGTTTTGTCCCTTCACTTGGTGCACTTTGTGGATATTGTATGATTGGCCTCCTTTTCTCCGTAATTGATCCCAAAAGTACTCCACAAACTTCTTTTATTGGATATAGCCTGCAAAGCATGAAAAGCACTAATCAGAGCATTTTGTTATCACTCTTTACCGTAAAAGCTATACAAAAATGTGGTTCTTTAGGGCCTAATTATAGTCTAAAAGCATCAACCTTGTAAATCAAGTATTTCAAGAATCAAAAAAATAGTACTAATGTTAAGGGAAATAGTATAGACTTCCATCAAATAAACCAATAAATGGAGTACAAACAGGAAGAGCCAAATCGGAAACCTTAATAAGATATCACTAGGATGAAAGTCATAGAAATACTCTAACTAATCACAGCATATCCATGAGAATCGCACATACACACAAATCGACTGAACGAACAGTAAAGACGAACTCAGAATCACAAACTAAAGCCAAACAAATTAGGGGTTTTCAACCTGATGAATCAGATAAAGGAAAAACTTAAAACAAACCATTTAAATATAGTAAAAATCATATGATAATACTGAAAATCAGAGGAGAAGTCATTTTCTTAAAAGGTTAAGAAATCCTAGTCTTGAAGACGAAGGGTGACTTTAGAAAAAAATCGGAAAAACCTTCTAGGAAAATAACAAAAGCTCGTAATATACATAGATCTAAGATAGATCTAAAAGAAATTGAAGGATCTTAAGGTTTAGGGTTTCAGAGAACCCAGAGAAGATGAGAAAATCTTAGAACGTTACTGGTTATAGCCAGAAAAGTCATGGATCTTACTCGAACAACCATGGATGGCCGGAAAATGGCATGAAAGACCGTGGATAGGAGTTGAACCACTCCAGGTTCACCTGAGGACCTCAGGGTAGTGTCAAACCAGAGTGGGGTGAAGCAGAGGCCAGGAGATGATGAGAGGCCATGATTTCCGGCGAGGGATGTGGCGGGAGAAGGTGGACAGGGTCCATCGGAGAAGATGAGAGAAGAGAGGGTTCTAGAGGGAACCAGAGATTGAGAGAGGGAGATGAGTGTCGGTTCAGTGAATGAGAGAATGAGAGGGTTTGGGGGTGGGGTTCGTTTAGTTAAGTTAGGAGGTGGTTGTGGACGTTGATACAAATGATCAATGGTCCAGGATTGGACGGGGGTATTGGGTCGGGCATAGTGGACTTGGGCATAAGGGGATTGGGCCAAATTAAAAAGGGGTTTTGGGGCTGGTTTAATGGGGTTATAATTTAAATAAGAATGGCTAATTGTTAAATACCCATTAAAATTAGATAAATAATTAATAAAAATAGCTATTAATTAGATAAAAATAAAATTAAAGTTAGATAGGTGAAATTAACGTAATTAACTAATATTTAAAATAAAATAGACTGATTATTGAATTTAAATAGCATAAAGTGTACAATTAGGCTATAATCGCAAAATCATTGTAATTATAGCCAAACAACGCCGAATTGGCTAATTTGTGAAATAATTAAATCCTAATAAGATTAAAAATGGTATATTCAGCTAAGAAATATATATATATATATATATATATATATATATATATATATATATATATATATATATATATATATATATATATATATATATATATATATATATT